TCTTGGGTTTTCTATGTATAGGATCCTATCACCAGCAAGTAGGGATAGTTTGACTTCTTCCTTACCAATTTGGATGCCTTTGATTTCCCTTTCTTGCCTTGTTGCCCTGGCTAGGACTTCCAATACAATGTTGAATAGAAGTGGTGATAGAGGGCATCTTTGTCTGGTTCCTGTTTGCAATGGGAATGGTTTCAGTCTCTCTCCATTGAGAATAATGTTGGCTTAAAGTGAATGACTCTTAAATGATAGAAAATATAAAAGGCATATAATTATGATGTCAGAGGAAGCACAGAAAACACAGAGCCTTTCACAAAGTAGTCAGCTAACAAGTGTTTGTGGATTGAATGGATGTAGTCATATCAGAGAGCTGGGCTTCCAGACTCCTTAAGATAATGCTGATTTAAAATATACTGTTCCATTACCACGAGCTCTGGTATGCACTGGTTAAAACAGTTGGCTGCTAACCAAAAGGTTGGTGGTTCAAATCCCCAGCCACTCCACAGGAGAAAGATGAGGCAATCTTCTGTAAAGATTTACAGCCTTGGAAACCCTATGGGGGAGGGTTTGTTCTGGCCTATAGAGTCACTGTGAGTTGGAATGAACTTCATGACAGTGGGTTTGTGTGGTTGATCCATTATCTGTATAAATGAACTTAGATTTATTAAACTATGGGTCCTCTGTATATTTAGTTTACAAAATATCTTTACCTGAAATACTTCCTTTAATCTAAGTCCTTCCCCATAAGATTATAGTTTTCAAAAATGTGGACGGTTAGGGGAGTTTGGGAAGTTGGAAGGAAGCACAGAAGAGGAAGAATGGTCTAGATCAGTAAAGTCCAGTAGAAACATACTGTAGTCACAAACATGGGCTACATATGTAATTTTAAAGTTTTTAAGTTTTGTTTTTTTTCAAATGAAAAAGAAACAAGTGAAATTACTTTTAATAACCTGATATAAAGGAGCCCTGTTGGTGTAATGGTAAAAACACTCAGCTGCTAACCAAAAAGTCAACAGTTCAAACCCACCAGCTTCTCTACAGGAGAAAGATGTGGCAGTCTGCTTCTATAAGGATTATAGCCTTGAAAACCCTATGGAGCAGTTCTGCTCTGTCCTACAGGGTTGCTATGAGTCAGAATTGATTCAACAGCAAGAGGGTAACCCAATATATCCAACATGTAATCAGTATAAAAATTACTCAAGAGCTATCTTCCATTCTTTTTTTTTCCTTGTCTTCAAAAATCTAGTGTGTGTTTGACAGCTCAGTTTGGAGTCCCCACATTTCAAGTGCTCAGCAGGCATATGTGGCTTGTGACTTCTGCATTGAGTAGTACAGAACTGAATGATACCACTTTTCTGCTTAAAGCCTTTAAATGGCTTCCCTTTGAATTGCCTCTAAATACATCTATCCTCTTTATGAGGTTTCTGTGGGTTTTGAGATCCCGCATAATCAGGCCCCTAGACTAACTTTATAAATTTATTTTTGTATCATGCTCCCAGCATGTCCCACCCTTTATCCATACCGACCATTATTTTCCCCACAGATATTTCCATTTTTATTGTTCAAATCTCTATTCAGAAAACCTTTTTAGAAAGACTTTTCTAGACCTAATCTCAAATGATCCCATTTTATTATTTTCAGAGCACTTATTCCTCTGTCTACAATCTGTGCCTCATTGTTGAAGATAACAATAGTACACTTAACTGATAAGGTTGTGAGATTAAACATGAGTGTGTGTATGCATGTACATATATATTTTTTTGTGTGTATTTCTAGACAGTGCCTGGTAAGTAATAAGCTCTATGCTATGTTTATTGCTGTCTGAAATTATATCATTCCTCAGCTATTTCCTTATTGTCAATCTTTCTTCAGTAGAATATAAGTTCCATGAGGACAGGAATGTTGCATCCTCAACACTTACAATGTTTTCTGGGAAATAACAAGCAATCAATTACCTTATTGTTGAATGAATAAAAGAAGAAAGCAGCTCAACTTCTGTATTTCCATCAGAAACTGCTTCACATATTAGGCTTCTTTATCTGGGGTGGGGGGAGGAGTGGTGGATGAAAAACTTTATTATATTTCAAATATAATTATATTTCAAATATCTAGTTTCATAGATAGATCCTATGGCCTAAAAGAGACGTAGCTTGGAAGTTGAGGATCTTCCATGCACTATCATATTTACTGGCCTTATTTAGCTTTTTTTTCCTTCCAGTGTCTTGTTGGATAAACGTTTTAGAGCTGAGTGTAAGAATTATGGTGTCATCATACCATATCCACCATCCAACCGCTATGAAACGCTACTGAAACAGAGACACGTTCAGGTATGGGGAATGGAAGCCATGGCAGAGATGGAATGGCAGGAGAGAGTAACTATGAAGTTAGGGTAGAGCTAAGAAATCAGGACTGTATCCTGACCACCCCACCGTGGATTTCTGATCATAAGTGTAACAACTTCAGACTCTTGTATACAGTAAGGAGGCACTGGGGCTTCCTTTTGGGTCAAGTCCACACCTCCTTGGCCCATGTGTAGCTCACATCTAGTGAGTTGTAGTCCCTAAAGCTGAAACTCACTTTTTTTAGTCAGGGCCACTGATTCAATGGTAGACTTCTCATCTCCATGTAGGATACTGGATTAGATTCTTGGCCAGTGAACCTCATGAATAGCCACCACCATCTGTCAATGAAAGTTGGCATTTGGCTGTGATGGTGAACAGGTTTCAATGGAGCTCTCCGATTAAGACAGACTAATAAGAAAGACCTGGTGACCTACTTCTGAAAATCAGTGAAAATCCTATGGGTCACAATGGCGTGATCCTCAATCAATCATGGGGACGGCACAGGACCCAGCAGTGTTTTGTGTTTGGTTCCATTGCCCATAAAGTCTCCCATGAGTTTGGCCAACTTGATAGCAGCTAACAGCAACAGTCTGTGAACTCAGATACTGAGATCTTAGTGACCTCCATCTAATCTGAGGGCTCAGATACTGGTCTCAGTGAAGGCAGGCAGCCTCATCTTTGAAATGAACCATGTCGGGTAAAACCCAAGGTAGAAATTGTGGCTTGTTTTTGTGGAATTGATTTATGTTAACATTTGTCCCCAGATACAGAGAAAATACTACTGGGAACATTTTTATCCCCACTTAAAAATGCTAAGATGACCCAGACAGGTAAAATAAGTGTTGCCTCTGCAGACTTTGTATCTTACTTCTAGAGTCCTTCCAGGAGCCAAGCTGGTAGCAAGATGGCCTGTATGCCATAATCTCTGTGTGCATATTATGTGGTCCAGGGTCTCTGTGGAATAGAGTCAGGTGAATGGGCAGGGCCAAGGTGGGGCAGATGGCCTAGATCAAAAGGAAAGTTTACTTTGGAAAACATAGACATCCCAATTGCTATGAAAAATCCAAGGGAAATGAAGAATAATAAAAATAATAAGTACATTTTTATCTCCACCAAAAGCAGGCGCAAGGAGAATTTTCCCTTCAGCTTCTCAGAAGATTACTGCCATGAGTTGCACATGCAGCCAGAATTAGCCGCAGGATATTAAATACTAAGAGCTTAATGTGCACACAAGATGGCTATAAGGGGCCCTAGTCTGTTGTTAGAAAATTTATCCCAAAAGGGAGCTAGAAGAGATAAAAGCCTAGAAAATGACACCTAGTATAGTACAGTGCACACAGCAGGTACTCAATAAATGTTTATTGTTATCTAGATAGCATCTGCGATAATGCTCACGTGTACCCCAGTGGAAATTATCTTAAGCAATATTTCCCATGTTGTAATCAGCCCTTCATCCTCTTGCTTTTAAATTCCCCCCATAAAGGCACAAAGTAGGCCTTGGCTGAGGTGGCTGCTGTTCCCTGCTGAGTGTGAAGTGTGACACAAGAATGATGCAGGAAGAACCTCAGGCTAAATTTAGGATGTCAGCAGAAGTGTTGTGCAGGACACCAAAACCTGCCTGAGTCTCTTACCACAGTTTGAATGAAGCTTGTTTTTCCTCAACTTTTCCTGTTTCAAACCTACAAGAAAGTTCGAAGAGTCGTACAGTGAATACGCTCTTCAACCAGGCTAACTGTAATTAAAGTTTTACCACATTTGCTTCACTTTCTCTTTCTCATGTATATATTTTCTCTCTTTCTCTCTCACTTTCTCTACCTACCCCCCCAACCTCTCATTCATATGTATCCACTCCCTGTCTGTCAGTTTGTCTTACTCTGGTGGCTTGCATGTTGCTATGATGGTGGAAGCTATGCCGCCAGTATTTCAAATACCAGCAGGCTCACTCATGATGGACAGGTTTCATCAGAGATTCTAGACTAAGACAGAGTAGGAAGAAGGCCTGGCAGTCTGTTCACAAAAATTAGCCTGTGGAAACCCTATAGATCATAGAATGTTTTCCAATATAGTGCTGGAAGATGAGCCCCTAGGTTGAAAGGCACTCAAATACACAGTAGCCAAACAGTGGAGTCAGGCAGACCAATGATTGTGAAGATGATGCTGGACCGGGCAGCATTTCATTCTGCTGTACATGGGGTTGCAATGAGTTGGAGCCAACCCAATGACAACTAACCAACAACTAACAACAATATGTATACTTTTTACTCTTAACCATTTGAGAGCAAGTTGACATGTCATGACACTAAGAAAAGGACATTCTCTTTTAAAATCACAGTGGAATTACCATACTCTGGAAATTTAACAATACGGTTTTCCACATACAGGCCCCAGTTGTCCCAGTAATATCCTATATGATTTTAATCCAATCTCCTATCAGTGCATTACATTTAATCATCATGTGTCAGTGTGAATCGTATGTAACCTTTCTCTCTCTCTTCCATACAGCTGTTGGGTAGATCGATTGACTTGAATAGACTCATCACCCAGCGCATTTCTGCTGCCATGTATAAATCCCTCGACCAGGCCATCAGCCGCTTTGAAAGTGAGGACCTGACCTCCATTGTGGTAAGAGACTGGAAGCTGATGGGAGTTCTGCTCTGGAATTCTGCGGACAATAAGCTTAGCTGGGATCACTGTGAGCCTAGTATTGGGAGAAGCAGTGAGTCCCTGGTCCCAGTGAATGGATCAGGAAACAAAAAGACAAATAGAATGAGTTTATCTTGTCAGCCCTTGCCTGGATTCACTGGGTGGGAAGGGTCTCCTTGAAATCTTTAGAACTGGCCAGCCCTCAGGTACAGCTGCTTGTCCTTTAGGATTTTTTTTTTTTTTTTTTTAATTCCTTTCTCTTCAGTTAATGTGTGTCTACCCTCTGTTGTTGTTGTTGTTGTTATGTGCCGTCGAGTCGGCCCCGACTCATAGCGACCCCTCCTTGGGTTTCCGAGGCAGTATCACTACGGAAGTAGGATTGCCCAACCTTCCTTCCGAGGAGTGGCTGGTGGGTTTGAACCGCCAGCCATCTGGTTAGCAGGCAAGTGTCTTAGCCACTATGCTACCAGAGCTCCCAGAGTGTCTACCAGAGTGTCTACCCTCTAGTTAGTGGTTTACCCTCCCTTCCCCACCCTGGTAACCATCAAAGAGTATTTCTTTTTTTGTGAAACCCTTTTCTTGACTTTTTATAATAGTGGTCTTATACAATATTTGTCCTTTTGTGATTGAAAATTTCACGCAGCATAATGTCCTCTTAGTTCACCTATATTATGAGATTTTCACAGATTCATCATTGTCCTTTAACATTGCACAGTATTCCACTGTGTTATGTACAATAGTTTGTTAATCCATTCCTCTGTTGATGGGCATTTAGATTGTTTCCATCTTTTTGGTATTGTGAATAGTGCTGCGGTAAACATAAGTATGCATATATCTGTTCGTGTCATGGCTCTTACTTCTCCAGGATATATACCTAGGAGTGGGATTGCTGGATCATATGATATTTGTTTTTCCCGCTTTTTAAGGAAGTGCCATATCATTTTCTACAGAGGTTGCACTATTTTTACAGTCTCACCAACAGTGTATGAGGTTTCCAGTCTCTCCACGCCCTTGCCAGAATTTTGTTTTCTATTTTCTTGAATTTTGCTATTAGTGTTGGGGTGAGGTGATATCTCATTGTTGTTTTGATTTGCATCTGTCAGTTTTTTTTGGAATGGCTACTTATTGATGGCGAGAGCATTTCTTCATGTGTTTGTTAGCTGCCTGGATGTCTTCTTTGGTGAAGTGTCTATTCGTGTCCTCTGCCCATTTTTAATTTGGATTATTTGTCTATTTGTTGTTCAAGTGTTGACATTTTCTATAACTTATAGAGATTAGCCTCTTCCAATATATCATTGCCAAAAAATTTTTTTTTCTTTTATTTTTGCAGCGTTCCCTCCCCTACCCTCCCATCGCTGGCAACGAACAAAGCAAGTTTCCCTCCATATATAAACCTTTCCTTGCCCCTCCACAACAACGAACTAATACTATATTTGTCATTCTGTGATTGACTTATTTCATTCAGCACAATGTCCTCCAAGTTCATCTATATTATGCGGTGTTTTGCAGACTCTGCATTATTCTTTAGTGCTGCATAGCATTCCAGTATGTACCATAGTTTGGTCATCCACTCTTCCGCTGATGG